TTTCATTTGCTTATCAGTTTAAGAAATATATATTGGAGTTCAAAGAGCGAAATTGATATCTCAAATTGATGTCTATATTTGTTTTTGTAAAGTGTTATTGCCTGTGTTATCTTTAGCCTTAACTTGGTACCTGTCCGTGACAGTAATAACTTTTATGAAGGCGATAGAGGCCGGGGGTTGATGGTTATTCTTACCATGATTAAACACATGTGTAACTAACTTTGGCTTTTTAACTATCATGATATTGTGTCAACCGGGGACCGTATTCTAACAAATATGTTGTCTTTCGTGTCATGAACATGATTAAACAAAATATACAATAATTGTTAAATGTATCAATTGTGCTTGCACTGAATGCATATATATTTTATATACATGAATGTAGTCTAATCGGGTTCGTGCTTTCACTTAACTTTAGCTTGTTCAATTCTTTTATATCTCAAGGCTTGTTAAAATATGGTTGAATCTGAAGGGAATCCCAAACTTAATACCAAACTTTGAATTAAATTAATTTCCAACTGATGCAAAATAGCACATTACATAGGTGTAACATTATACTATGATCCCTTTCTTTTATGAGATCCCTTTCAATAAGAATTTGTATTGTAAAATCATATGCAAAACATCTTGTTTGGAACACATGTAGGTATTTTTGAATGAACATAGAGAATACATGGCAATATATTGTAAGTTGAAGCAGCATTTCTATTATCAATATTTATGTAGAGAAGGAGAGCAATATTTGTTCCTTGCACGATCTAAGGGGGGGGGGGGGGGGGCAAAGAAGGGGCCGAATCCCTCCTATTTTTATTATTTGTATTGCTTGATATAAATCATACAATTTTGCCTGAATGAACCCCAATTTTCGCCTGATAATCTTTTAAAAGTTATATTTTCATAGATTTTGGGGGATTGAACCCCTTCCACCAGTCATAATATCTGAAGCCGTCCCCTGATCTTGGAGTTAATAGTTTATTTAGAGTAATAATACAATTCTATACAATCTAAATTGCTTCATTAGAGTACACTGCTGATGTGCGGGACAATGTGTAAGTTATGGATGATCATGTAAAGACATGAATTTTATGAAAGTATTCTGTAAGGCCCGGTCAAACAGAGGGGACGCATGGGGGACGCACGGCCAGCGCATTGGAAATTTGCAATTTTGGCCAGTGCGTTGTCGTTCGCTAGGCTTAATCTGTATATGTTACACCAGTGAAAGTCAAATATCCAGAAATGAACAATAAATACTAAATACAAATACAAAATACTTCATTCGTTACTCGTTCGTCGAGCGCGCTGGACCCACGCTATGCATTCGTCGTCATTCGCGTCGGGATTTTAAGAGCATGCTCAAAAGTGTGCGCGGAGCTCGACGCATGAATGTACACGCCAAAGGCACGCCAGACATGCGCGGAGCGCGCTAGACCAGCGCCAGACATACGCGGTGCACACGCCCTGTATACGCACAGCGCTAGCTACACGCTGTGCATTTTGTGTCAGCTCGCTAGCTTTTCCAAAATCATGACAAAAGTTAGGCACACGGCCTTTTCCGATTTCCAATGCGCGGACCGTGCGTCGTCTATGTGTGACCACTTTTGTTGAGAACGCGGTGCATGCGTGAACCATTCGTCCAGCGCGCTAGCAACACGCTGTGCATTCGTGGAAGTTGTTAGCATGTGCGCTCTGTGTACGGTCTGTATGCGCACTGTATGCGCCCTGTATGCGCTCAGCGCGCTAGCAACACGCTATGCTTTTTGTGTCAGCTCGCTGTATCTTCGACAAAAGTTGGGCGCACGACAACGCACTGGCCAAAATTGCAAATTTCCAATGCGCTGGCCGTGCGTTCCCAATGCGTCCCCTCTGTGTGACCGGTCCTTAAATTGAAATGTCATGCCATTCAGAAAAATTGCGATACATGTAATTCTCACGATTCGTTATAGCAAGAAGGTTTCTGTGTCTCTCCCATCCTTACCACCAATGTCTCTCTTTTTCTTCCTCTCTCTCTCTCTTTCCCTGTCTCTCCCCCTGTCTCTCCCCCTCTTTATCTCCCGTCCCCCACTATCTCCCTCTCTCACGTTTTTTTCAATTAGTTTACGCTATTCCAGTCAGTGCCCTCACACCTTCTTAAAATACTGTAACAAACCCATCACTTTAAACTTCTTGTTCATCTAATTTCCCCTCTGATTACCTCTTAATGTGATGAAACTCACAATGACAACCAATTAGATTGTGAAGACGCGTTTTTATTAAAGCGAAAAGCAAATTGTTCATGGACAATTAAAGATGTTCATAACCAATGGAATATTTCATGATGACTTTAGAACACAATATATATATCTATTCAACTGCTATTGTTTCCCTCAATTTGGTAATGTCAAACTAATTAATGTCTTATTTCTAAAAAATGAACTGACAGGGCAAACATTCACACATTGCCCTTTTATAATCATCTTCTGTTAAAGTCTCTATGGATTTCCATGGTATCCAATAGTACTCATGATAGATTACCGAAGTGCTAACGTCATATTTGCTAGTCGTTTAGGTTACTTGTTCTGAAGAACAGTCAGAGCATGGGCATGAGGTTCACCGTGAAATCATTCAGGCTTCCTGCTGGAGCAGGGAACATTCAGTGGTTGACACGTTTATGATCACCACACCGTTGTTTAGAACAAAATTATTTTGAACCTGACAAATTAGCCAGTATGAGGTCATACTGTGGTTCTCTATGCTACAGCTATTGTCATGCATGGGTGTGTAATATAAACGGTGTCCTGATAGCTAATAAAACTATGTCACTTTTTTGTATTCGTTTGGCATTTTCATTTTTATTTGTCTTCTACAAAACCTAAATCAACTAGCAAGCAAAATGAACAAACAAGAAATAAACTCATGCAGCGCTACAAACGATATTGTACATTCCATAGGTTAAAGAAGATACCCCTCCCCAGAAAAGAATCAAACGAATGAAGCAAACAAATAAAAGAATATAACATTTCATCTGGTAAGACAAGATTAGATACCATAACATGCAGTGGTCTTTATATTGTGAGTGTATGAGATGTAAAGAAAGAACTACAGCTTATGTTACTGTAATAACATCTCTTCCATCAAAATACACAACACAAATAAACATATCTCATATAATATTTGGCAATCAACAAAGATAAATCTTAAAAATACTATGAATTATGCGGCTATGTACATTTCATGAGCGTACTTGTAATGTAAATAGTTTCTTGATACATAGATAACATACCATCGTTATACAATACATTGTAAGCCATCATCATCATCCTCATGACATTGCAGCGTTGTTATATTATTAGTTGTAAAACTAGTTTGAAAGATACATGTATGTATCAACACGCCTCTAAGGAAATAAAAAACAAACCATTTAAATGTTACAAGTAATTAGTATGATCTACTTCCAGTGATTGTAAGCGATGAAAAACTTTGCAGCTTACACGTAGTCCATTATTTAAAACAATATCAAAGTTTAATATTTCCCATTGCAAAGTTATCAAATCAACAGTATTGCATCTTACAAATACTGGGTATTTTGCAGCTATGCACATGTCATGAGCATACCCGAAATGTAAATAAAGTTTTGATACTTGTAGATGACATTATTGTTTTTTGGATAAATGCATATATTACAATCTCTAAAAGCAAATTGATATATAAACAAATTTAATTGTTAAAATCTCGGTGTATACAGCTATTTATATGTTGTTATTGTGTTAAAGGATCATGATAACAATCTACAACATATTTCATTACTTTAGCATCACTTCTTTTAAACTACATATACATAACAAAAAGTCTCATAGAAAAAAAAAGAAACAACAAAGTTGAATCTTGAAAATAGAGGGTATTATACAGTTATATACATGTTTACATGTTGTGAGCATTTTTAATACGAATTTGTACATGATAATTTACATGCAACTTATGGCATAATATGTTTAGAAATGTGCTGGATGTTAACAAGACGAAAGATGTACTATTACAAACCTGCATTGAACCTGGTTTTGGTGATTGTAATTTTAATTATGTAAATTAATATATTAATATATTGCTATACTTTTCTTGGAAATTTTGTATTTATTAACATTTATTTCCTTCTCAACAGTACAATATGAAACACAATGTATATATACATGATATATGTAACAATTATTTCAACATAGAGTATACAGTAAATAATTCAGATACGGAAGGAGGCGAAAATCCGGAAAGCATAGCTTGAGTTGGGAACGCCCATAATAAATTAACACAGTTACCGAAAGAACATTATAGATATAATTATGAAAATTACATTTTATATAACAGAAAGTTGATAGGAAAGAACAAAAATAGTAAATGGAATAGAGAGAAGAAAAAATAATGAGGAGAGAATTAAGTATAGGAAGGCATGTTCACTTAAAAAGAGAAAGTTACCTCAATTGGGCTGTGCATGTGTCTGTGATTACATAATAAAAATAACGAAGTACTACAATTTTAAAATAGACAGCGGGTACATATCATTACAAACAAGCAAAATCATCAAACAAACAACAGCTTTATCCGACAGCATTGAGGCATGTACGTAAGTGATCAAAATACAAACATGTCATTGAATTGAATTCCACAAAAGGTCATTTCACACATAAATACAAGAGAGGGTATCATTATCGAGCAATTAAATACATTTTTGCCTTACGGGAAAAAGTCTGCAAGGAGAGCGATTTTTGTAGAATAGATGGCAAGGTGTTTCAAAATTTTGGCCCAGAGTATCGAATGTCAAATAAAAAAATGACTACAACAATACATGTTTTCATGTGACAATTTTGTTATCCTGTATATAATATAATCATGGCTAATCTAGGTACATGTTATAACACACGTATTGAGATATACATGTAAATATTGGGATGCTGGTGATGATAGCCATAACATTATGTGTATACGTGTGTGTACGTAGTGAACATGGAAATTGTAATCAAACAGGATTTGATTTAGAGGGTGAATCTGTTTTTGAATACGAGAATGTTTACTCCATCGCAAGCAATCAGTTTCCCCGATGGCGTCATCATCACCCGAGACTGTTTACAGTGAATCTTGTTATTACCCAATCTAGTTGATAGGGGGAATGATGCTACTCTTCTCTTCTTCATATCACTCCCACTCGTCACCTGATCAATCACACACGTCTTGCACTCATCATCTGATGTCACGACGTAAAGGTCATCTGTCATAGGATCGAGGCAGGCATTCAGGATGATACCACTGTGGGGGATTTCCCTCTGAGCACCCTGTCTGTCGATGATGAACAATCTATGATCTGATGGTGAGGGTCGAGCGATGATGTGACCTGATGATAGTACACCACGCATTGTTATTTTCTGTTTACATGTGATGGTATTTGTGATCTTACCACCAGCTGGGTCTATGACGTATATCTTAGACTGACCCCACTCAGCAGCGATGATCATCCCATCATTGTCAGCAGCTACATCCACCCTTGTGTTATCACGCGTTGTGTTTCTTGGTATTGTGACGTCATTGATGTGATTCCATTGTCTGTCATACACACTAATGAGTCCATTCAAAGTGCCCCCTGTACACCCTTTACTGTATTTACCGCATACTACCTTATCATCATTCAGCAATGCACAGGAGAGAATCCATAATGTAGCACTACCGGTTATAACTCTCTGACTGTTTCTAGTGTTCATATTTAACATGTATGTATGTAGCCTACCAAATACTCTATCTGTGATGATCACATTGCATTCTTCTATGTATCCTAAAACGGTTGGGACTGTGATTTTATCACTTACATTGATTGTACCAATGAGCTTCCACTCCCCATCATACCCATTTATCCTCCCATCATACTTATGTTTCCCAGCACCCTTCACAAAACTCACACCCGATATGGTATCAGTGACTTGTTTCACCTCAACCTCATTCAGTGGCTTCTTTATTTCATCACTCACTGAAATCTTCACATGATGCCCGTCTTTGACGACATTTTTATCATTTTCGAGTACTGTATCAAGTGTCTGTATTGTAGTCTCTGTGGTTGTTGTGTTATCCTGCCATGCTTTTTCCAACTCACTAATCTTTCTTTTTTTCTCTTCAGCGATGTTCTTAATGTCTGTTTGAAGACCTTGCTGTTTATTGTTAATGGGTTTTCGTCTCCTCTCTCCATTTGCACGGTTTAGTTCAAGTCGTTTTTCTCTCTCTTCATCGTTCTTTCCAATCTTGTCCTTGATTTTCTGAATCTCATCTTGAAGTGTCTGATTCTTCCCATCCGTCTCCTGGTTGATTTTTGCAGCATCCTCCTTCTCTTTGTCTTTGTCTGTTTGGATCGCCTCGTTGAATACTGACTCTACTTCATCTTTCAAATCGTGTAGATGGGTGTCGGTGTCTCTTTTACACTGATGAATCTGATCTCCAATAACTCGACAAAGCTCCAATTTGTCCTTTGCCTTTTCTTTCAGAATGTCTAGTTTTGCTCTACTATCCACGATAGCGCCCTCTATATCCTGTCGTACGCAAGACGGGTCATGATGATCTATCATTGCGCATAATTGACACACTGCCACATTATGTGTTTTACAATACAGTTTGATTTCTTCACCATCATGCTTCTCACAATATAGATTGGGCCTACCCCTTCTAGCTTTTCCGATGCATTCCTCTTTGGAGGCGCAGTCATCGCAGAGCTTCTTCTTCTCCTTCACGTAGTACGTCACATCTGTGATTGATTGACAGTTCTCTCCTTCACAAATGTTTTCTGCAGAGCTGAAGTGTGCCGCCATCCTGATCAGAGTAATGACCTGTATAAAAAAAAAAAAAATCCCAAGAGAGAAAGAGAGAGAGAGAGTATTTGTAAGGGGATTAGGGATTGGATGGTTGGGGGTGGATAGACAGAAGGGGAAGGGAGGGAGAGAGGAGAAGGGAAGGCCAGGAGGGATTGTGAGCCACGGAGGGAGAAATAGAAAGAGGGTGAGACAAAAGGGAAAAGGAAGAAATTGAAAGAGAGGAGTGAAGGAAAGGGAGGAAATGAGGGACAAAGAAAAGGGAAGAGAATATAATAGATTTAATACAATGAACTCCATTAGTAATATATTCTCATGCATATTAATACAAAAAGAATATTAATAAATATAGTGTATTACCTTCAAAACAAAGATTTGCGATTTTATGATTCGCTATGGCCCTTCTGGGCCATTATACTTCACAGCAATCAGGTGATTAAATCGTCCAATGAAGGCTCGTTCACGCATGGCCATGTAAAACTAACTGCACATTTTACAAGACCCATATTGGAGACTAAATTGAGTGGGGGGGGGGGGTGATGGGACCTCCGTTTTTTGTCTTAATTCGTGGAAACCCCTTTAGGCGTCTTCAAGTCACCCTAATCCAAAATTCATCAGAATATTTATTTATCATCCCTCGTGCATTTAGGTGTACTGGCACATTTCGTGTGAGAGCCGTGTGAGGCCGGTCGTCTGAAAAGATACTGTCTGGATCCCCAAAAATGGATTCAGTGATCTCGTTGAGAGGAATCATCCTAATTTATCAATTCTGCGATATAAAGCGATCAGGAGGTAAAAAAATACTTTGTTGAGGCATGAATTTCATTTCGATAGAGAAATACAATAGATAAGGTGTTATATGGGCGCCATGCTGTCTGAATCGTGGCGCGATTCTGGCAGTGAGATAATTAGAGAAAGGTAAAAAGAAAAATAGACATTGGAAGATGTAATTCACATTTCGTCTGTTGTTGTTGCACATAAGTGTTAACATACACCATCTCACAGGCATATTCATGTTTACCTTTTATTGCATTTGTAAGATTTTAAATATTTTTCGTCCCCTTCGAATCCTTGTATGAAACAACAAAATGACCTACACACAATGTAAATCTTACCTTGATTACCAGTTTCTTGCGATTTTAACCTTCGTAATGTGAAGTCAGAAAGAAAGTTGATCATACAGATGCTCCTATTATATTGAAACTTCGTCTGAAGAAGAACAATTCACCCAACCTCTTGCAATATGTGTATAGGTGAACATCGAGATGGCGTCTGCGTCTAGTTGTATGCCACCCAACGTTAAACTGATGCTTCCTTGCCCCTGATTGGCTCACAAATTGATGGGCATTTTTCACACCTGCAACATATGGCAAGTAGAGAACAAAACAATCATTGTTCTACAAAGTGGCGTACGCAGGATTTTTTTTAAAGGGGGGGGGGGAGTTTAAAATCGGGTCTAACACTTCCCAACGACTCAGGAAAATTTGAAAATCGCGCCGGCCAAAAAGTCGCTCAGTGGGGGGGGGGGGGGGGGGGGGGGGGAGGGGGTAAGCGGACACTATTTTTTTTTGGGGGGGGGGGGGAGTCCAAAAAAAAATCGCAACGACTCAGCCAGCCGAAAAGTGGCTCAGTGGGGGGGGGGGGGGGGGGGGGGGTAAGCTTTATTTTTTTTTGTCTCGAATTTTGAAAATTTGACATTTTGCTCCGTTGGGGGGGGGGGGGGGGGTAAGGTCACCTTTTTTAGGTCAGCCATGGGGGTAATTTTTTTTTCCAAGGGGGGGGGGGTTTAGGGATTTTTTAGGGGGGTTTACACACATAAAAATACCAAAGGGGGGGGGGGTGTTTAACCCCCCCCCCCCAAACCTCCCCCTGCGTACGCGCCTGGTTCTACAATCACACAGTGAAAGGGCTCCGACGAAAGAGATGCTTCGTTGCTTTTTGTGAATAGAGTTTGATTGATTTAATATTGATCGGTCGTTTTTATTCATATTCCATGCAAAAAAAGCGTGATACACTTTAAAAACAGTAACATTTGTTTAATAATATGCAAGTACATAATCCTGAACCAAAGTATTTCATAACATTAACATAAGTTATGTGAATAATTCAATACAGACATAAAAAGTGAAACCTACTTCAAAGCTAGGCTTGTTGTGTAAAGTTTTACTCAATTAGATCACTGATTAATATGAATATGAATCAAAGCAGTCTCACATGAAATGAAAGCTTCCTGAAGTTCGTTGTTATCTCAATTGGAAGCTTTTCATGGGGCAGTATGCTTGGCTAGGAAGAACTATATGACGCAGATAAACGGCTGTAGTTAGACAAACTTCTTCAGAGTTATATCTCAGTCGCATGGCTTGTTTGTATTACTATGTTACTTATATTCGTATGCGTTTTAACCTTACCTGTATTAATATTTTGTGTACAGGGCAGCCAGCATTAATGTAACGGCTAAACCTTTGATGAAATCGTAATTCGTTTATATACGTTCACAGAACCCAAACCATGTAGTTGGTTTATATTGTACAGTCAATGAAATGAATGAAGTAATGGTGCACAAACCATTATGTTCACCTGTCTTTTCTTTCTAGCTCAAAACCTCTTTTATAGATTATTACCCACATGCAAATAAAAGAATACTAGCCAAGGTAGAATGGGAAGAGTTTTAAGACCAATGTTTTCAAAAGTGTAAGATAGACCATGATGCCCTAAACATTCTGGATTATGTGTTCTTCCATGCAGGAGACATTTAGCGAGTGAAACCAAAAACCTTTGTTCGTGCGAGTACTTTGCTGTAGAACAGAGGTCACAGATCCGTTGAAGTATCTTTCTCACTACAGTTGTGTGAAGTGACTGTATGTGTTTTCATCTCGTATTCGTCGCCAAATATTTGATTCTCAAGTCATTTCAAGTTATTAAAGGTAAAGGCCAGTTCTGGTCATGCGATTGCATTGTGAAAGAAACGTTGTGGAATCGATTAGAAAAGGTAAATCATATAGCATATAATATTCGTGTAAACTGCAAGGTTATGGAATCATCAAAATGATAATAAATTTGGCCCAGTCTTGGTTAAGTTAAAAGCACTGTACACAGACAGATGTATATGGGACTACGCGATATATATCCAGTCCGGATAGATATGATAATTTACCAAATATATCAGTAGTAGGCGGTTTCCCGGCAAAATGTGAATCATTACGTGTTAATAGTCAAATCATATTCTTTCACATAATTGGTAATAAGAGCTTCCACTTCTTTTTTTTTGAGAAGGGAGCGTTTCCAAAACTGGTCTTTCCCTTTAATACCAATGAGGCTCAGCAAAGAAGATTATTACTATAAAATAATGTCGAGAATTACGTCTATGAATATTTACCTGAATGACATATACCCTTCGTGGATTTTGCCTCTCCATCCCCTTTCCCCCATTTTACTGCTGTCCCGCCATTTTCTAAGCCCATGCTTCAACAACTTTCTCAATATCTTAACACGTTATTTTATTATTTCTTTGTTTCCCTCATTTATCTCTGTTTCTTCTCTTCCCCTCTTTCCTTAATTATACCCTTTCTTATGTCCTCCCTTATCTATATTCTTGTTGTTTCTTCCCCTCCCTCTCTCTCTCTATTTCGCCTGCTATCTCTTTACTCTCCTCCTTTCTCTCACTCTCTCTCTCTCTCTCTCTTCACTCTTCCCTTCTTTCTCTCTCTCTCTCTTCCTCTCTCTCCCATTCTGTTGTTCGTCAAGTCCTTCCCGTTTTTATTGTAAATGCCAATTGACTGATTTCGAAATTTATGATGAAACTCACAATGAGAACCATTTAGATTTTGAAGACATGTTTTAAGCATAAATCCATTTCGTTTTTCATATACAAAGATTATAATAACCAATGGTAAATTACATGACTTAAAACACAAGACATAAATACATCTGCTAATGTTGGGTTTTCTTTTTTATTTTGGTAATGACACACTGATTATTATTTTGTCCAATATCCCCAAAATGAGGTTGCAATGTAAATATGTGAACAGTGTTGTTTTTCTGTTCACAAAATTATTTGTTAAAGAAAATATCGGTTTACTGCATTCTGGGTCAAGATTGAGAGTGCATTTTCATAATGATCTTTTAGCAAATTGTCTATGGATTTCCATTGATAAAAATAATTCTCAGTATAGAGTCCCAAAGTGCTAACGTCATATTCGCTCGTCGTCCAGGACTAGTTCATAACAACAGAGCCTGCGTTTGGGGTTTACCGTGAAATCATTCAAACAGCCGTCTGGTACAGGCCAAATTCAGTGGTTGGAACTGGTATGTTCACCACACCATTGTTAGGCACACACTCGCTTGGAACCAGTTACATTGACAACTTAACCAGTATGACGTCATATTTTGATACCCTATGCTACATCTATTTCCATGACTGTGTAATATCAATGGTCTCCTGATAGATAACAAAACTGTTAATTTATTTCATTGTATAGCATTTCATTTTTTTCTTCCACACGCCAATAATAACCATTAAACGAGAGATAAACTCATGCAAAAATACAAACTACATTGTACATTCCATAGAATAGAATAGAATAGAATCCCCCCAGCACATAAATGCAAAAATAACATTCCAACTGGCAAAGTAGATAAGTGATTGCGATCGAGTAGTAGTGTGTGGACTGTGATACCATATAATGCAGTGATCTGAATAATGTGAGTGAGATGGAAAGAAACAACAACTACACCTTATTTTATATTTAAATCATCTCTACCATCAACCTACACAACAAAGATTAACATATCTCATATAATAATTAACAATCAACTAAGTATAATCTCACAAATACTGTGAATTATTTACATTTCATGACCCTACTTGTAACATAGCTGTGGGTTACATAGCCTCACTTTTCAATACATTGTAAGCAATCATCAGCATCATCATCCTCATGACCTTTCGACATTGTTTATTTTGATGAAATGAATAAACTTGTTTCATTCGTACATCATTG